CTCTCTTTAGACCAGGCTGACCTCGAACTCACAGAGATCCGCCTGCTTATGCCTCCTGACTGCTGGTTTAAAGATGTGTGCTACCGCTGCCTGGCTTATTTCCCTTTTTAAACAGCTATATAAGTGATACAAGCTGGGTGGCGGCGGCGCACGCCTTTAATCCCAGCACTCGGGAGGCAGAGCTAGGCAGATCTCTGTGAGTTCGAGGCCAGCCTGGTCTACAAAGTGAGTTCCAGGAAAGGCATCAAAACTACAGAGAAACCCTGTCTCAGATAAAAAAAAAAGTGATACATGACAGAAAATCAAAATAATAGTCTATACACATGTAAATTCTTTCTAAAAGTTTAATTGATTTCCCATTCTATTGCAAAGAAAGTAATTTCCACTTACAATTAAATTGTTTCCATAACTACTTCAATAATCCTGATCCATAAATGTGTTTGTTCTTCATTCTTAAGCTGTGAACTAGTAGTTATAAAATATACTTGATGAGAAAAATAGACTCCTTAACACATTTTCACATCTGTATGTGAGACAGGCCTTTTAAAATAAATTAACACCACACATGGCTTTTACTTATGCCACATTGAAGTACTACTGGAATTCCCAGATCACATGTACTCTACTTGTGCCTATCTATGCATGAGTTCTTAAAATTATTCCTCACTTGTTTGCCTGGAAAACTACAAGTCACCCCTTTTTGAAGTTTTCTGTTATCCTTGTCTTTACATCTGGAGGGGTCAGAAGTTCCCCTCTTCATAACAATACACCATTTTCTTTTTATTATTTTATGTGTGTGGATGTTTTGTATGCATGTATGTCTCTGTACCATGTGGTGGTTTGAATAAGAATGGCCCCTATAGGTCATATATTTGAATGCTTAGTTATCAGAGAATGGCACTACTTGAGAAGGATTAGGAGGTGTGGTGGTGTTGTTGGAGTAGATGTGGCCTTGTTAGAGAGAGTGTGTCACTTGGGTGGGCTTTGAGGTCTCAAAAGCCCATGTCCAAGAGTCTTTCTCTCTTCCTGCTGCCTGCAGATCCGGATGTAGAACTCTCAGCCTACTTCTCCAGCACTATGTCTCCATGCCGCCATGCTCCCTACCACGATGACAGTGGACTTAAACCTCTGAAAATGTAAGCAAGCCTCAATTAAAGGCTTTCATTTGTAAGAGTTGCTGTGGTCATAGTGTCTCTTCACAGCACTAGAACAGGACGAAGGCACATGTGCATTCCTGGTGCCCATGGAGGCCAGAAAAATCTGTGACCTAATATACAGATGGAAACCTTAACAATGGCTTCATACAAGAAACTAGGGTAACCAGGAAACATTCAGCATCCAAACTGCTGGAACTAGAGAAGTCTTTTTGTTTGTTTGTTTGTTTGTTTTGTTTTGTTTTTCGAGACAGGATTTCTCTGTATAGCCCTGACTGTCTTGGAACTCACTTTGTAGACCAGGCTGGCCTCGAACTTAGAGAGATCTGCCTCCCAAGTGCTGGGATTAAAGGCATTCACGACCATCACGCGGCTCCGGAGAAGTCTTTAAAACAATTAGTGAAAGAGCCTGTCACAGTGTGGCTTGTGAGACTGTGGGACGCAGGAGTTAATAGGATCAGTCTGACTGCTGTGGAGTCAGAAGAACTGAATAATGTTACTGTCCATTCCTCCTTAAGGCAAGGGCTGCATAAATCTGAGACAGTGTAAGGGAAGGGACATCGGTCCCTGATGGGCTAGCTTATCAGAGCCATTAGGAATAGTTTTTAATCTCCATCTGAGGTCCCCATAAATATCCAGGACTAGGGGCGGGGGATAGGTGCTATTGAGGAAACTAGGAATTAGAAAACCTGTATTTGAATGCCAATTCACTGGGTCCTATAGAGCTATGTTCACAGGGCCAGTAAAGAAAAGGGATTCAACAAGGACCTCAAGGCTGGTTTGGAGCTTTGGCAGCTTTGTTGGGCTCTTTATGTGAGGCAAGCTCTTTATAAAGTAGAAGAGGCTTTAGCAAACCTAAGTAACTTAGACCAGCATGTAAAGAGTGTCTGTAAAGAGAGAGAGAGAGTGAAACCTGGGGAAGAAAAGAAAAAGGCAAAGCAGAGGAAGAAGTCTGTTTGGTTTACTTGAAGACAAATGTGGCAAAATTTGTGTCGAGCTGGAGTTCCTATGGAAAAACATGATAGAAAGCCAACTGTACTAAGGAGGTTCTAGAAGGCTTCAAAGCCTGAGGAGCAGTTCAAAGAAGATGTTCATGATAGAGTAATACAGGTGCAGATGATCAAGCCTGTCCCAGGGGTGGGTAATTATCCCCCCAGACCAAGGAGGGTGCATTTCTCTCTAGGAAAATGTTATGCTAGGAGTGGAGATGCTTTGCCCAGCCAGGAACTCCCCCAACAACCAGGTGTGGTAAGTGGGGAGGCAACAGCTACTGTGCCAACCCAGGGAGCCAGCAAATGCAGCAGGGGTGAGGAGGACCACTTTCTCCCTTAGCCCTAGGTGGTGGAGTTGATCAGATTAAGCCAAGCCCACTGAGTTAATCAGGGGTGAAGTATAGGGTGTCATCATGGAAGAGCTCCAGGATATGGAAATGCAATGGCTCAGAGAGAATGACTGAGGATTACAGAGAGCCAATTAAATTACAGGTTCCTATCCATGCTTTTGTATTCAACCTTGGTCTGTGGAGGAAGCAACTGATACAAGTGGATGAGACCTTTCTATGCTGTATTAGACCTTGCTTATGTTCCACTTTAGTATCTTCTTAGTTGTGAATTTCTGGGATCACTTGACACTTGCTCAGAACAGATGACATGGGTTTTCAGAGTGCTTGATCAAGGTTATCTTTGTAATCTCACTATTTGGTATGAGATTGTGGTTCAGGGTGTTATGTTGCCCTGCTCATCCTCTGAAAAAGGTTTTGTTATATAGATAACATAATCTCTGAATGCTTTGAAGATTGGAAAGCCATTGGAGAGACCTGTGAGTGCACCCTAAATAAGTTCACAGAGAGTAAGCAAGGGCATCTTGCAAGGGGAGAAGCAGATACTACCAAAACCCATATGGTTGTTGATTGAAACTCACAGTACAGGTGTCAGTTACCTCTCTAGGGGTATTTGATAAAGGAGGCCCTAATGAGAAAGCCACTGCTGCTGTTTATCAAATGGGTGTGATAAGCCTGTCAAACACAAACATTTGTGTTTATGTCCATTGATCACTGTTGTCAGCCTCAACTCAAAACCACTGGTGATACTCCTGTTGCTGTGGTACAGGAGTCATATAGTCAGCCCCTCCAGTGCTCAGAGATCATTGTGGAAGAGGGAATAGAAAGAATCTAAGAGCTAGATTAAAACATTTCATCCTGCATTTACTTTAAGAGAGAAAGTAAACAACTCAAAATGACTTCTGGGAGCCCCTGAAGCTGACCCTCTTTCCCAAGAGTAAAAAACAAAAACTTCTAAGACTCACTCTCAGACAAGACAAACTGCAAAGAAGACTCAGACCAGCCAAGCAGCTTGGAAGAAGCAGATACAAGCCAAGCTGCCTGGAAGGGAGCCTCCTGGAGAGGGCACTCTCCAACCTGCTGAGCTGCCTGCAGGCTGTGCAGTGTGCTCCAGGTTTCCAGCTTCTGTGAGCTGTCACCATGCTGAGGTGGGACTTTGGTGATGCAGCTGTCTTTGAGTCATTTCTTCTCCTGTAAGTAACTCCACTAAAAAACTAATTGGTACATCATGTTGGACTTCGGTGGGA